GTCTATATGCAGCCTATGAAGCAAGTCAACAGATTATGACCAATATATATAAAATTTCTTATTCAAGTTGGAATTTCACTCCTGGTGACTTCCCAGATACATCCACAATGTTTCCTTGACAACAGTTCAGAAGAGTTTGTCATTGCCTTCTTTCAGCTTGTGGAGCATTTTGTTTTGTTCGACTGCACAGTCTAGAAACTGGGTGACTAGATGGTATTGAGATATATCTGTTTGACCTCATGGAAACTATCTTGAGAGATCCTACAAGATTCCAATTTTCTCCCAATTTTTTACTATCCATAAGAAGCTTCTGGGAAGGATCCTCTCTGGGTTTGAAGCCATTTTCTAACTGTTCTTATCCTTCCTGGAAGCTCAGAGCTGAAGACTGTAAGCACCTTTGCCTATCTGCACATTATAAAATGTGGTATATGGGAGACTGGTTTGACTTCCAAGGTCTGAAACCTCCTGGCAATATACCATCCAATTAGGACCTTGCTTAATTTTTTTGGTGGAGGGGTCAGTCAAGATCAGCAGGGATACATGTTTTTTAATCCCTTTATAGTAATTAAACACACACACACAAGGAACAATTTGCACCTGTGTTTGAACATAGACATAATCTGTCTTTAAAATTAAGAGTCCAAGATCTAAAAGCTTTAACAGAAAACACTGAAGGCTAGTAAGACTGCTTTTGGGTCATCATAGCTATGGATTCTGAGAGTTACAGTTCATGCACCTGGAGGGAACCAGCTTCAAAAAAAAAAAAAAAGCTGGCATAAAATGTGGCTTATCTATGGCATTAATTCTCACATATGAAAGCACATTCTTTATCATTCCTTTGGGCCCATTGACCTACCTGAGCCAACTTTTTTTCATGGCGCTCTGTTGACTTGCTCCCAATGAAATCATTCTCCAGCAAATCCTGCTTGGCAATATATTCCTTTTGAACTTTCATGAACTTGTTATACTGGTCCGCTTTAGTCACGCCAGCCAAATAGGAAGGTAAGAACTGGTACTCATCTTTAAACTCCTTTGTGACACAAAGCCTGCTGTTCTTGATTCGTCTGTATTTCAACAATTTCATTTCTGGAATGTCCAGCTCGTCTCGTATCAGCTGCTTTTGAAATATGCCAGCAGCTTCTGGTTTCTCAGGAGCCTCTTTCTTTTGCCGTTTAAAAGCAGTGGTGCTGAGCGACATGCTTACTGGTGCTCTAAAGCTGGCCAGGTGGGCCTGAAAACACGATGGGGAAGCAGATTTGGCCCGGGTGGGCACTGGAGTAAAATACTTGCTGCTCCTAGTCTTTTCCAGCCTTTCACAGGGTCCTCCAAGGGCATCCCTCTTGGCAAGCATTAAAGTGGGGGTTTGGGCACTTTTCCAATAGTTGCATTGCCTTGATCTGGGGGGCTTGAAGAGCTTATTATGGTTTAGGTGGCCTGACACATAGAGCTGAATCTCAGCTTTGTGAGCTTTTTCCACTTCATTTAAAAGCTCTGCAAGGTGGGTTTTTTGCCTCCTCTCTGCCATATGAAATGTTAGTCCCTGTACACACAAAGAAAATAATCAGCAAACCCCCAAAAGAAAAACACACCTCAATATCTTTCATTTTCAGCTAGCCTATTTGACTGGAATGTGTACAAGATAACGGTGCCTCTTATCAGATACAGTATCATATCAGATACCTAACTATTTGTCTCTTTAGGGCAGGGTTCCTCAACCTCAGCAACTTTACGATGGGTGGACTTCAACTCCCAGAATTCCCCAGCCAGCATGGGGAGTTGAAGTCCACTCATCTTAAAGTTGCTGAGGTTGAGGAACCCTGCCTTAAAGAGACAAATAGTTAGGTAGAGTTGAAGTCCACCCATCGTAAAGTTGCTGAGGGTGAGGAACACTGAGAACAGTTCCCAGAGCCTTGGGAATATACCTAACTATTTGTCTCTTTAAGGCAGGGTTCCTCAACCTCAGCAACTTTACGATGGGTGGACTTCAACTCCCAGAATTCCCCAGCCAGCATGGGGAGTTGAAGACCACTCATCTTAAAGTTGCTGAGGTTGAGGAACCCTGCTTTAGGGCAATCTGTTCATTGGGATACATACAGTATATGCATTCTCTTCCCTGGGCTGCAAAATGCTAACTTTTATTTTCATTTCCCAAGCTTCATTTCATTCCCAGCAGAGGGTTTTGTCAAACTTACTAACCCATTCTACATCATAGTGCAACCAAGAAGAAAAGGCTGCATGCAAAAGGTGAGGCAGATTTTATGAATCCACATAATGTGTGCAGAAATGTGGGTTCCCAAGGCTCTGGGAACTGTTCTCAGTAAACTTTGGCTGAAGCACATTTGCTTACTTTTCCTTCACTGTCACCTATTTATGCAATACACAATTTGGTGATTATGTATCCTGAGATCTGTATAGGCACTCTAGAGTTCTAGTCCTGCCTTAGGCATGAAGCCAACTGGGTGACCTTGGGCCAGTCACTCTCTCTCAGCCCTAGGAAGCAGGCAAGGGCAAACCACTTCTGAAATCTTGCCAAGAAAACTGCAGGGACTTGTCCATAAATTGCCAGGAATCAACACTGACTCAAAGGAACAAAAAAAAAAGGAACTATAATTATTGAGGTATTTTTTTTCAGAGGTTTTCAGAGGACCTATAGATCTACATATATATTCCCAAATGCATCTTAAGAAAGTGGAGCAAGATTATTTTTCACCCCAAAAGATCATTTGAAGAATGAAAAGCAGATCCTCTATATAGATTGTGTGTAAATCTGTCAGTTTTTCAGAGCCAATCTAACTTGCAGTTTATCCAACTAATTTTCTTTGGAGGAAAGCTTTCGATAAAATAAAAGAAATAATTAAACTATTGTAATTTTCCCTGTGGAAAATAGATTTCACCTTAAGAATGAAGGCAGGCCAAATCATAAACATTTATTATCTTTTGTGGGAGCAGGGTAAGAAAAGCCACCACTGATTTTTAGCATAGGTTCAATAGTCATTCTTCCTCCCTAGTCTATGAAAAGGGCTATAAATGTAAAGAAGTTCTCAACAACTGATAATCTTTCATTCCTTGTGTCCATAATAGTTTAACAGATATAAAAGCAATATAACTGTTAGCTAGCAGAACATTTTATTTTCATTTTGCACCCTTCAGGACAGAGATGGGAAATTATTTTAAAGCTGTAGCTATGTTTAATATAAAACAACTATCTATTGGCCTTAGAATTTGGGGGTTGGAATCAAAGTGACAAACTGATATCATCAGAGGGAATGTAGCTAAACCTTTCAGCTCCTTTTTGGTTGGGATGGGTCATTTCCAATGAAAGTTCATTAAGTCTAGGGGTTCTTCTAAAAAGGGCTGTAGATCCATCAGGGTAGCAGGATACCTCCTCCATATTCTCTCACCACTTTTTCCCACACACCAAGCAGATGTGTGATTTCACCAGGCCTCAGCTTTCCCATCCTGCTGTCACGCAGTTACGGAGAAAGAGAAGGATATCTCACTTCGTTGACAGAGCTACACAGCCTTCTGGAAGAGCTGTCCTCAAGGCTTAAAACATTTTTAAATACCATGTAGTTGAAAAACAAATCTTTTAACCATTTAATTTGAGGGGACAGCTCTTGGGGGCAAAATAGGGCAGAAATTGCCCAACCCTGTCTTGAGGAGAATAGCAATGCCAGTAAAATTGGTAGGAACACCACATTATGCAGTGGTAAAGAGGCAAGTATAGCTGAATGTTATATATGGATTCAAACATCCATTTGAAGAGATATAATTAGATCCTTGGAAAACATTCTTCACTCATGGCAGGAATTTTAAGCTTCCTTCTTACAGAAAAATAAACATCAATTTAATTTTTAAAAGCTAACAACCCACGGCCAGCACCACCACCATTATTCTATTGCATGAGTCTTCTATAAAGCTAATCAAATTCTCTTTGTCAGCATGAACAATCCTTACTGTTTTGGGGATGGGTCTCTAAATTTCAAGTCCTTTTTAATTAATTAATTATTAATTTATTAATTAATGGACTTAATTTTATGTCCTTATTTTGCAAAAGGCAATGCACAACCTTTATTTTCAGTGTATCGGGGAGGTCCCTGGCCATGCCATGTACAGACCCTCAGCAAGCTGGAAGATATGTTTCCCATGTCTTCCCTCTACATTGACCACTGCCCAGTGACCAAGAGTTATAACATTTTGTTGGCATTTAACTTGGCATGCACTGGCTTTCTGCACTTATTAACTTTCAGCTGGAATCAGGCAGCATCAAAATTGATGAAATAAATAAATAAATAAATAGCTCTGAGCACTAGGCACAACAGAGATAGTCAGCAGAGGAATGCTGCACTTGTCTGGAAGACTTACTTTGCATGTAACATGCCTCCTGGTGATTAGACTAATATTTTCAAGGCGACTATGTTCCTTCCCCACTCAGTTTAGCACCCCTTTCTCTTCTGACTTTGATCTGTACAGTTAGGTTATAACCTCCATAATGGAAAAGAGACACTACAGACTCTTAGCTGTAGACAGACTTAAGTAACTCAGGCTTTCCTATCACTATGTTGTTTTCCTAAATAAAGCTTATCTTTGCTGGGTTCTTGGAGGTCCCTGAGTTTGCTTCCCTTCCTGCAGATGCTTTGTTACTGGGCTAGGTAACATCCTCAGTGCATGGGGGAATGGGGATAAATAAGGGTAATCAAAGGAGAAAAAATATCCCACGCAAAGACCAATCAAGGAAGAAAAAATACGCCAATCAAGGCTGATTAGACAACCCCACAAAAGAGCCAGCTGTTATAAACTCTACTCCAACATCAGGAACACCACAGTTCAACCCTGAGCTCTGTATATTCTCTACTATGAAAAGGTTACCTTTATTTTATTTTATGGAAGCGCCAACCACAAGAATAATTTCTTACAAAGATAACCCTAACCTTAGGGGGTTTTTTTCTCTACCACATTCCTTCCATTGAACAAAGCTATTTGCTAACCAAATAACTTTATCATTTCTTGTTCCTAAGATTTTACAATAACAGCAGGCACAGTTCCATATATAAAAATATACATATAATTCTATCCTGAGTTTTGGAAATCTGTGGTGCTCCTGTGGAGCTCTGACATCTTACTAGTCTACCTCTAGTCTTAAAGCTCCTGATCAATAAAAATAAATACATAAGGAATTTAAATTACAACAATGTACAAACCAGCCTTGTGTAGAATGAGGAGACTGGCTTCAGTTCAATTGTGAAACCCCAGATGAATATGCCATCAGACTTTCAAGAGTATATATTCTTTTCAAACAGGGAGAATATTGCATACGTGAAGATTTTCTGAGATAATTGAATTTTTGAGTCATTTTGAAGAATAAACTCAAGAGCTCCTTTGAAACCTATGGTCAGAACTTCAAGTCCCTTTATAATGTATAGACATCTGGAGGTAAAAAATTTATTCTGCAGAGACTTGCCAATGGACTCAGATTAAATCTGCAGGGCTAGGTGGTATATACTCATAAGCATTTATAGACCTATCTCCCACTTTCTTGATATTAAGCAACTAAATGAACCACCAGAAATGCTTCTCAAAAGTTGTGCATTTTCTTTATAATATTTATAGTGCAAACCTACATGACAGTTTTCAAAACAGAAGTCAGGTTTGAACATTTGGACAATGGAACCATGCCTCCTCTGAGGAAAGTCTAACATGTTGATCAGATGCAAAATCTGCAGTCTGCAGAGCAAAAGAGATATTTCCAAGCACCATCTTGAACTATTTTAAGGCCTGTAGATTAGAATAGATCAGAATACTTAAACTGTTTTGGTGTAAATGTTGCTGTGGACCTCTAGGTGGAGCGCAGAGCCTGCATTCCAAAAGTGAAGAGAGCCAGGATTTAAATTAATTTGAGTTCAGTTAATATGATAATATGACTATTCTGTATTTAACATTTTTCTCCTACTGTCACATTAAGTTACCATTCACAACAATTTCTGAACGCTTTCTGGGATTCGTACTCAAGACTTTGGAGCAGGGGGTGCATTGGCTCTGAAACCATAGATCGTATACCTTTAGAACAAGTCCTCCTAAGAGTCTACTTAGGAGGATGTATTCTAAAGTCCTGCAATCTTGCAATCCCATAGGCAAATAAGTTTAAAAACACTCACTT